GAAAGCTTGAGTTAGTAGCATTCTTTGAAAGAATTTATCAGAAAATTGTCTCAAACTTTTCAAGAGGAAAGTTGGAGAGAGAGTTGTTGTATATCCTGCTTGGCAGTTGTTTTTCATCATTATCTTCACTGCCGTTGTGATCTTCACTTATATCTTGCTGTCAAGAGCTACTTAGTATCCTTCATTGATGCTAGTTGTGCTACGCCGTGACCTTATTAGTGTTCTAGGCTCGCGTCTCTAGTCCGGTCTAGCCTAGGACCAGCACAGTACCGTCGTTGAGCGTTTATTCAACATTGCATCTTTGAATTGATTATTGCTAATCTTTTGCTACCATATATAGCCAACCCAGCTCCACATATTTCTACACCGTGTATACATACGCTCCCCTGGCAATCGCTTTACTCAATATTCGGAGTTACTTGACACCGCTGGTTGCCGATCACCACCTGCTGCATGGTAAGAACTTGTAAGAAATTGATATTTGCTTTACTGTGAGCGTTTTACCACCACATCCTAGTAGTTATAGGAACATTATTTTTGGGTTTTGTTTCTTGTTCTACTAATCATGACAGGATCCAGAGTCAATTCATGGGCTTTGTCGATCGCGGGAGATGTGCCACCACCTTTGCAAATACCACAACCGTCACGAGAGGTGCACAAACATCCAAATGCACATGATCAGGTTAATGTATCTATACCACCATTTAATGGCCGTTTTAAACTTGCTTTATATATTGAATGGGAGTTCGACATAAAAAATATATTTGCTTACCATAATTTCGATGAACATAAAAAGGTTAAGGTTGCGGTTGTTTCTTTCACTGGTTATGCTTTGGTTTGGTGGAGTGAATATTGTCGGTTACACCCTGATTATATACCTACTACTTGGGATGATTTGAAACTTGCCATGTGACATACTTTCGTCCCTATTTATTATACTCGTGACATGATTAAGAAGTTGCAACACTTAAAACAAGGTAGTGAAACTGTAACAAAATATTATGATGATTTACAAACTACCTTGTTGCATTCCTCTTTAGAAGAAAGTGAAGATGATTTTATGGATAGATTTTGGGTAGGATTAAACCGTGATATTCAAAAGATACTAATTCATGAAGAGTGTTATCCTATGGACCATTTTGTTTCATCTTGCTTGCAAAGCTGAACAGGAAATAAAACGACGTGTTGGCCACGAGGAGAACAAGCGCACGGTGCACATTCCAAGAGTTGATATGATTGTTCCTTCAACTACTAGGCATACTATGACAACCACATCCGTTGTTGTCAGGACTACATCACCTCCACCATGTGACACATCGCCCCCGAGAGTGGCTACATCATCTGAGTTGATCATAAGAGGTAATGAAAAAAGTACTGATCTTCCATCTCTACATGAGAATGATGAATGCCTTGTCAATTTGAGTGCACCATCTGATGAGCTACCCACTACTTTGATCACACCACCTATTTTAGAGGACTACGTTGATAATTTGACTTTGCCATGTGATCAAACAACTGAAATACCAACAATTTTGAGTGCACCCATTGAATTAACTATTGATGCAAAAGAACCAATGTTTAATCATTTTGATATGACCTCTAATCTTGGTGATGATTCTGTGTTGAATGACTTATTGCATGTTTGCTTATTTAAGCATGTTGTAGCATGTAAATTTGATGCAAGTAAGGTTTATTCACCAATGTTGGGATGGTTTAATGATGAACATTGTCAATCTTTTCAAATGAATAAGAGCTTCACTTATATGTGCAAACTGAGTTGCAATATTTTCATGCCTTCTACTTTTTGTGCTAATTTTTTGGCTTTAGATTTTATGAACTATGCAAGTTACTCATCTATTCATGTGTCATATATGCAAAAATCAAGGGAAGTAAAAATGGATGACATATACATATACAACATGTACACCTTGTCTCTTTTGTTAGCCACATTTCAGATTAAGCAACACCGAGGACGGCTTTATTTTCAAGAAGGGGAGGATGATGAGGACATGACTACCTTGGATATGACCAAAAATATTGCATATATGCATATTTGTCAAGTGATTTCTAGTGCAAACTATTCAATAATCTATTTATGTTATCCAGAACAAAAATACTTCACACACTTTTGTGTTTTGTCTAATTGCAGGTGTATGGGACATTTGTACAATCCACATATGAAGATAAGGAAGAAAGAGATGTTTATTTGCTGTCCAAAAAGTTCTCTCACGTCACTTTTGGCCCAAGAGAAGATAGAGTCCAAGTCTCTCACGTTCTGGATTCAGATTCGGACTGCACAGACACACCTGACTCAAAACGCACACAAGTTTTTCATACGGACTCCGAATTGGGTGATTCTTTTTTTGTTGGAAACTAGATTTCGTGCACTTTCCAACCCAATTGGAATCACCTTCAAATTCATCCGGAGCGTTGAGTTGTGGACGAAACAATCTGATGCTGCAGCAGAATCCAAGTCAAACTACAAGTCTAAAGGTGTTACATCACCTCCACTTGGGCCCATTGGCCTTGTACGACCTAGATTTAGTTTTAGGCTGCCTTGGGACGTCCTCCCACCTCCTTGGCCGTCACCCCTTGCTCCTATATAAGTAGATCCATCTAGTAGCTTTTCGTTGGGATTTGTTTAGTTAAAAGTTAGCCAACGCAACTTCGTGTACTTCGTTTGTGTCCAACGACCAGACCAAGACCGCTTTCGGATACCCACCTTTATCAATACTTCATACATATTTGCAATATTCAGATTGCTTTTATCATATTCTTGCTCGTTCTTCGATTGCTTGCAGGAATAGACCTTCGTGGTCAGGCTGACCGTGCTTCCAGCATCGTCAGTAACCTCAGGAGATTGGTTTAGCGATTGCTAAGGCGCAACGTCATGCACGTTTGTAGTCGGATCGTCAAAGTCGTCTCCACCAAATTGATAGTTATCATCTCATCGAAAGATCGGGACCCTCGCCTCTATCAAGTAGCAACCAGCAAGGGGGAACGAACTGCCCCTGTTTCCTCTGCTTATAAAGAGGGACGGGGCGGACGTTTCGCCCTTCCGAATAAAGAACCACCCAAGATCTCTCCCACGGCGCCGCATTCAACGCGTGCCGTTAGGGGAGAGCGCGGTGGATACGGAGCGAGATTCGGCGTGGCCCAGTCCGCGTGTGCCCGTGCCCTGTCTTGGGCCTGGCCCAACAGCGCTCGGCACCGTGTCTGGCCCAGGCCCGGGGGCTCCTGTCAGTGTACTAGAATAGGGGCACCCTAGTACCCCGAACTTGTGCACGGGCAGTTGCAGCACCCCGCGGCAAGGCTTGCCGGGCGAATGCCAAGATCCTCCGTGGTTCCCTTGGAGCCATTCAAGAACAAAGTATTTAAGCTCAGGAGACAAGGCCCCGGCAAGAGGAGCTTGCGGGGAAGGCCAACCAAGGCACTTCGAGGCCCGGTGAGCGACAAGCTTCTAGACCCGACAAGATAACAGCAGCGGCAAGGCGCTTGCCGCGGCAGGCGGCCACTCTGTGCCCACGCTCTAGCGCATCCACCAACGTGTCGCCCTGGGGGCCTCTCCAGGCGCGCGTGGCGGGAGGCTGTGCAGCCAGCGGTGCGCAGTGGCATGCGAAGCTGACAAGATCGCCATCGTGGCGTACGGTGGCGCCCCTAACGGTCCTTTTCTGCACTGTTTGGGCGACTCAGACGGGCATTTAATGCCCTTGTCCCCTGCCGTCAGGGTTAGGTAGGGTGCACTGTACAAGTAACTGTACCAACCACCTCACTTTTTACATTTGTACCCTTCTCTGTGTTGCCACCTGTCGGTGACCCCTTTAGCGTATAAAAGGAGGCCCATGCGCAACGTAGAGGGGGTTTGGTTCGACTGGTTCACAAGGTTCGACTAGTTGGGAACCCAGAAAAACACTACGCTCCCTCTCTGGAGCAAGAACACGAGATAATCAAACAAGCAGCAGTAGGAGTGTTATCTCTCCGGAGAGGTCCGAAGCTGGGTAAACTGCTCGTGTGCTTCGCCTCGATTTGCTCTTCGTGTGATCTCCGCCCCCCACCGAACCGAAAGGGGCCCGGTCCGCCGGCCCCATAGGTGTTCGTGGATTCAGTTTCCCCGACAGTGACAAGATAGATAGTAGGTAGGTTGCATTTCTGTCACTTGGGCAACACATCTGACTGCTGTTAAATAAAAGAATTAGTTTGGTTTCTACTGAGGATTTTGCTGTACGCAGAGTCATGTTGTGGTTTAGAAACTTGGTCGTTGGAACTGTTTTGTGCCTTAAATATGTGTGATTCAGCTATGAGATGCACAATTTTGTATTGTGATTTCTGGAACCCTGCTGTTTAGATGCGGTTTTGTTGTCCTTTTGAATGGTTAGTACCCCAGATTCGTGTTTTGTTTGCTGAAAACTATAGTTGTGTTTACTGTAGAGTGTAGACTCGTGGCATGTACTCTGACAAAATATTTGAAGGGTTAAATAATGCTGAAATGCCCTGATGCAGTGTAGCTCTACTGATGATACGGATTGACATATCTTTTATGCTTGTGTTTGATTTGATGCCATGTCGAATTGCTTGCATAATCATGAAGTAAATTGCTCGGTGCAGTTATTTTCTCTTTAAAAAATTACAGTGTATGTCATCTAAATAAAACTGTAGGCACTGATCTTCTTGTATGAGTATATATGTCTGCATTACATGTTGTTTTTGTGAAAATATGATGATTACTTCCTAGGTACTGCATATTGTGTTTAGCTTGAGGTTTTGTATGCACTAGTATTACTTTGTTTAGCTTGAGGTTTGAAGCTCTAGTATGCTTAGAGTGACTGGTTTCTTTAGTCTCTTAATCGACAAGTTAACTGCACAAGTATTTACTAGTATTACTGTTTTGCTTTTACAAGAATTAATTTGTTCTGTCTCTAATTGATGCTGACGACAACAGTTATGTTCTGTCTCTGATTCATGCTGATGACATCTCCATTCATTTCATCCAATGAGCAAACATGGCACCATCCACGAGTCTTGCAGTGAAAGGTCTGCTCCCCTTTGGAGCGCTCCCCTCGAGCAGCGTCGCGCAGAGGCCGGTGTCCGTGACCGCCTCACTGGAGCACAAGACGAGCGATTATAAGAGGAAGCTCCTAAAGCTTGCACTCGGAGGAGTCGGTCTGCCCGCCTTGTTGAGTGCCAAGAAGGCTTTCGCCGATGACCAGGGCGTCTTTTCCTCTAGGATGTCTTACTTGAGCTGGTTTCCTCCCTGGCCTTACTGCTGCTGCTGCTGGATGCTTCCCCGTCCCCTTCACCTACAGTGCTATATTGCATCACTGATCTACACTGTTTGGTGTGTCTCATTCCTAGTATTGTTATGTTCAACCACATTGCCAGTGTTCAGAAATAACACCTACTCACTATGCAAATGCATGCAACATAATCTGAAATTCATTCAGTTTGACTGTGCGTAAACACTATGGTGTACAACTATCAACTTGTTTCACTATTCAGTTTGTCACCCATTCAGCTTACTTATTGGGGCATCTTTCTTGTGAGAGTTTACTTGATAGTACAATATGTTAGAAGAAACTACCATGTCTCTGGAATGAATCATCAATCGCTCTTTATACACTTACAACTCGGTTTCTTTCATATAAGTTATGCTGCCTTTCTTTAGATTGAGCTACTGCATTGTTCATTATTGTAACAAACATTATCATTTGCCAATTTGCTCTGTGTTGAGAACTGACCAATAAGTTTTGTTTGCCAATTAGCTTTCTGTGTGCATGCTCTTAATCCCCATAGCACTAAGATAGGACCTTACTAAGCCTCATACTATTAATTTCTGAATCAAACATTATTATTTCTGTCCTCAACAAGTCGTGGCGCTATGTTCTCTTTTTTGTTCAATTAGCTCTATCAAATATAATCAACCTGCCTATGTTCCATTTTGCTATTTGTACTTAGGTAGAAAAAGCTAAAATTTGTACGTGTAATGCTGAAGCTATATTGGTTGCTTGTTTCTTAATTTTTTATTCTGTAATGATGATTTGAAATGCCACGCATGTCATTATTGGTGCTGCTGCTGTTGTTGCTGTGGTTGTTGGAGGTGTCGCTGTTGCATCTGGCAGAGCTGCCGTTGAGGCCCCAAAAGGTAACCTTCATCAGCCACAACCCCACAACAATGGCTCAAGGTTCTGTGCCCCATCACCCCTCTTTCTAAATTACTGAAATGAACCAAGATCTCATATATTTAGGAACGGAGGTAGTAGTAAGGTTAAAATAGAACAACAAGGGATGTTTCTAATTTGGTTATGCTAGAATAATGCATCAACTCATGGTATTATTGGATGTTACTCTAGGTGTCAAAATTATAGTAAAACCTAGACTCTTGCATGGTTCTTGAATTATTTTTTCTATTTTATTGCTAACAAATATTGCCTATGCCGAGACTCTAAACATGTGAATGTTCCTCTCATTTACAGGAATTCTACCCGAAGAAATTCGGAGAAAGCTTGAAGCCCCTGTTAGCGACTTGCTTATATGTTATTGACTTGTAATGCTAAATTTGTTGAGAATTTTGATGTACTTTTGCACATGTTACTCGAATGCTGGTAGTTATGTACATATACTCACAATATTATCCGTTGTTTACTTGAAATGCATTCTTGGGCAGAAAGTGGTCGAAAAAGTATATGTTGTATTGAATTTGCGCTGATTGTGTATGTCTATTCTATAAAAGAAGAGGCACGGTCCAAATGGAAGAAGTACTGAAATGTCCATTGGACCTAATCTATTTGGGCTTTGAAAAGAGCCCAAAACATATTGGCAGCAATTAAGGCTGAAAATTAAATAGAAATGTGTAAAAAAGGTCGAGGCCCAAAAAAGAAACAGATAATAAAAGGCCGTCGTCTAGAAAAAATGCTAAAATGTTGGGCTTGGCCCGTGAAGTCGACCAAAAATTGATAGGAAAAAATATAAAAAGGCTAAATTATTGGGCTAGGCCCATGTGGAACGGCGAATTGGACCAGGCTGAATCTTATCAACGACCTTTTCAATTGGTCGCAATTTTGACACGTCGGTTCCGACATGGCCTGGGCAGACAGCCAATGACCAAAACAAAAGGTCATGGGTTCCACGACCTTTTGTTTTGGTCATAAACGTCCACGACCTTATCCCGAAGAAGGTCATTAATTCAGTTTACGACCGCCAGCTTTTGACCTTCTGTTTTTGGTCATAAAAAGGTCGCAAATGAAAAACAATGACCTTTCACTGACAAATAGTGATGGTCGCAAGTTGACATATTTCTTGTAGTGCTTGGCATGCTATCATGGAATGGCATCAAACATGCTGGGGTAAAAAATATTGTCCAATTTGGGGCAAGTTATGGTATAAGCTTCTCACAAACCAGAGCTTCTCAGAAGAAGCCTCATGATTCCGTTAGGGAAATGTGTCACCTTTGTGGACAAAACGATATTCGTCGCCTCTTCTTCATTACAATTTTTTCCTAGTGTCAACATAGAACAACAGGAGTGTCGTGTTAAATTTTGGATTTTTTTTGGGGGGGTCGTTTGGACATTTTTATACGTTAAATGAGTTTTCTAGGCATTTATATGTATAATTCAAAATTGAACTACATGCACATGCTCCGATCCGTAAAAACGGGTTGCAAAATCAAATGTTTGTCCTTGGTTGCAAGCTTAGGTCACATGCAAGAAATAAGAATGAATGTTAAACACCTTGACACTATCGCTTGGCCGCTAACATTGAGATGCATGGTTTTAAAATTCTAGTAAATCGAAAACTCGTCAGAAATTCATGAAACTTGACATGATATCATGGAACGGCATCGACATGCCGTGGTAAAAATATTGTCCCATTTGGGGCAGGTTTGGGTATAAGCTTGTTGCAAACCAGAGCTTCTCTCATAACTAGCCTGATGGTTTCGGTAGGGAACATGCCACCTTGGGGGACGAAACGATATATGTTTCCTCTTCTTACTTTGAATTTTTTTTTCTCGTGTCAACATAGAACAACACGAGTGTTGTGTCAATTTTTGGGATTTTTCGGGGTTCGCTTGGACATTTTTATACATTAACTGAGTTCTCTATGCATTCATGTGCATAATTCAAATTTGAACTACATGCACATGCTCAAGTGCATATAAATTGGTTCCAAATTGGAATGTGTGTCCTTGGTTACATACTTAAGTCCCATGCAACAAATGATAATGAATGTCAAACACCTTGCCACCGTTGCTCGGCTGCTAACATTGAGATACATGGTTTTTAAATTCTAGTAAATCGAAAATGCATATGAAATTTATTAAACTTGGCATGCTAGCATGGAACGACATCAACATGAAGTGGTAGAAATATTGTCCCATTTGGGGCAGGTTTGGGTATATAAGCTTCTCACAAACCAGAGCATCTCACAACAAGCCTGCTGGTTTCAGTAGGGAACGTGCCACCTTTGGTGAGGAAACGATATCCGTTGCCTCTTATTGTGATAGAGGCGAAGGTGTCCCGATGTTTCGATGAGATGGTGGCTATCGTTTCTGTGGGAGTCGACCTTGACGATCCGACTACGAACGTGCGAGACATCGCGCCTTAGCAATCACTAAACCAACTTCCGAGAGGTTATTGACCATGCCAGAGCACGATCAACCTGACCACGAGGGTCTGTTTCCTGTGAGCAAACGAAGAACAAGTAAGAAACTGATATTGCAATCTGGATATTGCGAATATAAGATGAAAGCTTTATTGATCAAGGTGGGGTTCTGTGACGTCTTGGTCTGGTCGTTGGACACAAACGAAGTATGCGAAGTTGCAGCTATGGCGAACTTTTAATCTAAACGAAACCCAAAGTCTAAACGATGCCCTAAGGGCTGTATATATGGAGGAGAGAGGGGGAATTCCGTGGCCCTTGGTGGAGGGGTCCGAAACAAACCCTAACTCTTGTTTCCCCACACATACGGACTCTAAAAACAGCCTATACTTAAGTATTTAGAAAATACATGGGCCTGGCCCAATAATAAGGTGAGGCAGCACCTAGAATAGCCTCTGGACGAAATTTATGAAGTGGCATCTTTTATATTTCGTCAAGGCTTCATGCACTCATTATGGTGGCTTCAAAGTCCTGGAATCATTACTTGTAACTCCGTTCTTGTTCCCCTTGCGCATGCCATCATCTCCATGCTTGAACTTGCTCCAAGGTTCATCTTTCTTGTCCAAGCTAGGCCCTTCATTTGTAAGCAAAACAAATGTATCCAATTTAGGAGCATCATATTCTAATGAACATTAGAATCGTTACCAAGAAATGAAAGTACCTGATAATTCAATTGGCATGCGCAAGCTCTTAATTGGTCCAGTATGTATAACAGCAGGGGTTGTGGGTGTAACAATGGTATTGATGTCCTCATCATCCTCCCCTTCTTGCAATGAAGTCGTCCTCGACGAAAGCTCATCTTCCTCACCCAAATAAGGCTTTAAATCTGCAATGTTAAAAGTGGGACTAACCCCAAAAATCTGCAGGCAGCTCAAGTTTATATGCATTATCATTTATTTTCTCTAACACCTTAAAAGGACCATCAGCACGTGGCATTAGCTTTGATTTGCGCAAATTAGGAAATCTATCCTTACGCAAATGTAACCAAACAAGATCTCCAGGTGCAAACACAACATGTTTTCTACCCTTATCTCCAGCAAGTTTATATTTAGCATTCATACGCTCAATGTTTTCCTTAGTTAACTCATGCATTTTTTAAATCAATTCAGCACGTTCTTTAGCATCAAAATTAACTTTCTCTGAAGATAGAAGAGGCAACAAATCAATAGGTGCACGAGGTAGGGAACCATACACAATTTCAAAAGGGCACATCTTAGTAGTAGAATGCAATGAACGATTATAAGCAAATTCAATATGAGGCAAGCATTCTTCCCACATTTTCTTATTATTCTTCAAAACACCCCTAAGCATAGTAGACAATGTCCTATTGACTACTTCAGTTTGTCCATCAGTTTGGGGGTGACAAGTAGTACTAAAAAGCAGTTTAGTCCCCAGCTTAGCCCATAAACATCTCCAAAAGTGGCTAAGAAATTTAGTATCACGATCTGAAACAATAGTATTTGGCACACCATGCAAGCGAATAATTTCACGAAAGAGCAAATCAGCAACATTAACAGCATCATCGCTTTTATGACATGGTATAAAGTGTGCCATTTTCGAGAACCTATCCACGACAACAAATATGCTATCCCTCCCTTCTTTGTTCGAGGTAAACCTAAAACAAAGTCCATAGATATATCCTCCCAAGGAACACTAGGTACAGGCAAAGGCATATATAAACCATAAGGATTGAGTCGCGACTTAGCTTTTTGACATGTAGTGCAGCGAGCAACAAAACGCTCAACATCCCATCTCATCTTTGGCCAAAAGAAATGTGTAGCAAGTATGACCTCCGTCTTCTTGACGCCAAAGTGTCCCATTAATCCTCCTCCATGCGCCTCCTGCAACAACAAAAGACGAATGGAGCTAGCTGGAATGCATAGCTTGTTAGCACGAAACACAAATCCATCGTTAAGAACGAACTTTTTCCAAGTTCTCCCTTCCTTACAATTCTGCAATACATCTTTAAATTCAGCATCATGCATATATTGATCTTTGATGGTCTCCAAACCAAATATTTTAAAGTCAAGTTGTGAAAGCATATTATAACGATGAGAGAAAGCATCAGCAATAACATTTTCTTTACCCTTCTTGTGTTTAATGACATAAGGGAAAGTCTCAATGAATTCAACCCATTTAGCATGTCTACGGTTCAGTTTTGCTTGACTTTTAATTTGTTTCAAAGATTCATGATCAGAATGTATAACAAATTCCTTGGGCCATAAATAATGTTGCCATGTTTCTAAGGTCTGAACAAGAGCATATAATTCTTTATCATAAGTATAATAGTTCAGACTAGGCCCACTCAATTTTTCAGAAAAGTATGCAATAGGTTTGCCATCTTGTAATAACACACCTCCTAATCCAATTCCACTAGCATCACATTCAAGCTCAAAAGTCTTATTAAAATCAGGAAGTTGGAGTAAAGGAGCATGTGTTAACTTATCTTTCAATACCGTGAAGGCTTCTTCCTGTGTGGTACCCCAAACAAAAGGCACATCCTTCTTTGTAAGCTCGTTGAGAGGTGCAGAAATGGTGCTGAAATCTCTCACAAAA